TAAAACTGATTTATTTTGAAGTGCACCGTTTTCCATTCTGATGGGAATATTATTCTTTTTTACTATAGCAACTGGCAAATGTAATTTGTGTGACAAGAAGAACAGTGCTGCCCAAGTTTGTTCAAACATTGTAACCAGTTCGCCAGAATACAAAATTCAATTTCGGGTGTCAAATATATATAACAAAATTTATTTTACCGGTAACAGTATATGCCTGTAAGTGTTGGTTACCTGCGTGGCATAGAAACACTTTATTTTATGTTGACGAATACGAACTATTTCGTATATATGCACATCAATTTTTGATTGTACACGTTTCCAAAATTTGATATAAATTCTGATAACTTCACTACTCCTAAAAACCTTTAGTAACGGGAATCCAGGTTGCCGTCACGCTAACAGTACAGATATATTTTAACGCATTTAGGATGTGACAAATAGAATAGTGTTTATATACTCAAATGCCAATGGGTAACCCAACAGTAAGCCTTTAAATTTGAAACTTGTTCAATTTCTCAACGACGACAACATATTTAATGAAATTATATTATATTTCAGTGATCGTTCACAACCTGTATCTGCAAGACTCGAAATCCTGCAACTTGTTAAATTTCTCATCGATTGCCGAAATATCAGTAAAAACAAGCTAGTAACGCAGTTGAGAAAGTAAGATGGTTTACTCGCGGTAACCGAGTGATGAGCATTGTGTACTGACATTCGAAAAGCTCGGGTTCAAATCCCAGTGCCACCAACATCCAAAAGTTATGGAAAACTAATTTAAATAAAAATTTAAGTTTAATTTTCTGATTGCGGTCGACCTTCAGGGAATGTCAACGCTTCCGAGTGTACTTCTGACATGAAATAAAGCTCCTCATAAAAAAAACAATCAGCCGTTCGGAGGCGACATAGTATAAACTGTAGGTCTCTCCATTTATGGACCTACAGTTTATACTAAGGTCCATAAATGGAGGGACCTACAGTTTATACTAAGCCGCCTCCGAACGGCTGATGGTCTTTTTTTACGAGGAGCCTTTAATTCCGAATCTCTTGTGCCTGTAGAGAGCTTTGATAGGTGATGCGATACAAGCAGCCAATCATTTACCTACAAAAAGTATCCAGCATTTTGAAAGATTCGGAGTTTATTGTTGTCCGGGCTATGTCAAGTTACAAAAGTGCAATATTATTACTGCTTCTCGGATTGGATAACTCGTTCCTTTGTACAGAGGTGTTACAGAAACAGATTGTTGTCCTAATCAGATTGGAAACCCATAAAATTATGTTGACGCGGCTACACATTCCGATTATTCAGGGGTGTAACAGGAACTGATTGTTGTCGGAACCAGAATTAAAACCGACAAATTTCTACTGAGGGGGCTACGCATTCCGATTAATTATTTGCATACCGGTTACAGGATTGTAACGAAGTTCAATGGTGTACCCAAGGTCGCCAAAATAATAAGTCGCGCTCTTTCCTTTTACAACAAACGTTTTATTTTTGAATAATTTATACTATGTTCTACCTTCTACTTCATGTTTATAAAGGTTGCGGAAGTGGAACACTCTCCACTGGTCTTTCGTTCGGTAACGTGAGATCCTTCTTCCGAACATACTCTACTGCTGTCGTAAAAGTTGCGGAGGTGGAACTCTCTTCGTTAACTTTCTTTGAACTAGGTTAAAACCCCGTTGAATATACTAAGTACTCGTGAAGTGGAAAGCCTCAGGTGTACTACTTTTGACGAGTTATTCACGGATAACTATACCTAGCGACCATCTACTAGCTAATTAAATTTTAAAGCTATGCCCGCTCTGAACGCAGCCAGAAAAGTGTTTTATAATAACATCTATTATAATAAGCCGTATCACTTAATTCTATACGTGTATATGTGCATACTTATTTATTCTTAAAAAATCATATTTGGTCCCTAAAAGTAGACGTATATATGTATATTATATATGGATGATTCTGTATAGGTGGGTTTTACGTAAAGTAATGCCTGAAATGCGGCTGTTGTTGTTGTTGTAGAGGTTCGCTAACCTCGCTTAGGCACAGGTTTGATCAATCTTAGTCGCCGAGGTCATCTAGTGGGAGATTCAGGAAACAAACTGTTTTGACGGGGTTGGACCAGAGGGAGAGAGGGGTTAGATGAGTTGTTTTGACAGGGCATGTGAAGACGTGGTTAGTGTCGTGTGGAGACTCTCCACATGCAGGGTATAAGTTGGGTATAATGGGGTCTAGTCTGGATAAGTAGGAGCTTAACCTGCTACAATATCCAGACGTGAGTTGTGTCTGGGTCACTCGGGTCTCTCCAGGCAGCTCGAGCACGTTGTCTGCTATAGGTGGTGGTTTTTCTCCGAGTACGCCATTCACTGGAAGGGAGTCCTTGAAGGTGTTGACTGACTCCTGGTGAATGGCGTTCAGTGCTTTCCTGTCAAGCGGTTGTTGTACATGTTGCTGAATTGTGTCCTTTAAGTCTAGTACACCCTTTCTGATGTGCGTTGGTGGAGGTTCAGCTTTTATTGGGGTGCTCCCTGCGGTAGCATCCCAATAGGACCTGTTTGCACAACAAAGCATTATGCTCCTTAACTCGTAGCATAGACGCTTGGCTGTGCAAGTGATGCGCATGCGACAACAGGAGGTTTCCTGTCGAGGTCCTGATGCAGTGTTCTGACGAACGTGAAACTTCTTCATCGGCATCTCGTTCGTCCCCGGCGCCCATATCGGTGCAGCGCAGTTTACGACCGGCCGGCCTATTGCTTTATAGGTTGCCAGCAAGGTTTCCTTGTCTTTACCCCAGGTGCTGCCGGCTAGCGCTTTCAGTATTTGGTTGCGGCTCTGGAGTATTGCGGCAATTGCGGTCGTTTGCGTAGTGAAGAAGTGCAGGCTGTCTAGTGTTACTCCCAATATCCTTGCGTTATTTACCGTCGGAATTTTTGTGTCTTCGACCTTCACATCTAGTTCAAGCCTGTATTCCTTCGTCCAGTTGGTGAAGAGGGTAGCCGAGGATTTGGTCGTTTGTATTTTAAGCTGTCTTGCAGTGAAGAAGTGGGAGAGATAGGCGAGATAGCAGTTTACTTTCGAACAGAGGTCGTCAACATCCTGGCCAGACGCCTTTATCGTACAATCATCAGGATACGAGGTTAGAGAAACTCTTTCTTTCTTTCTTTGTTTAATTATGTGCCCTAAATATTCTACTGAGCTTTGAACGAAATTTGATTTTTCGTTTGATATTTTCATATTCACATTATGAAGTGCATTGACTATAGTTCGTATGTGCTCAATATGTTCTTATGGTGAGGAAGAATATATTAATACGCTATCAATATAAACAATTTGCAATTTTCCTGATATAGTCACGCAAACTAACGTCAACACATCATTGAAATATCGACGGTTCGTTTATGAATCCAAGAAGCATCCTAACATATCAACACTATCCATGAATAGTTTTAGTTTTTAAGGGTTTTATAGGCACGGACTTACCGTAATATAAGAGCTTAGGCTAATAAAATTATTTGTGAATCCTGTTTGGGATTGTAACGGGAGTATCTAGTTTGTATGCAAGGTAGCCCGCTCACTCGCCTAAAAAAATCTTCCAATAATGGCGAGACAAAGACATAGTTCAAAGTACTCTTGATATTCTCCTCCTCTACAAATGGCACACTAAAATGAATAGTATCTGTCTGAAAGTTCTCACCTCTGGTCGACAGTAAGTTTATGGTTGCTTAACTTTTCTGCATTTCGCGTTTTTGTTTTTTAACATCTGCATCCAGTCTCAAAACGCGTTCGGTGGACTCGTTACACTTTACAATGAATACATCAGGGGTATTATCTTGACCTTGCATAAAAAGGGCACGGTGCAAGGATTGTATGGATTGCAAAAAAATTCCAATCCGCGAGATACCACAAAAAAACACACGCTAAACATTTTATGAAATATTTACAAAATATTCTACGCCTGGACCCGTGTTTATTTTCTTGCAATGAAGCGTGGCTAAGGAAATGCACGTAACAGCACATCAGCTTAAGAAATCTAGTAAGGATTTATCATCCGTACACAGAATATCCAAAGAAGCTGATCACATAATAAAATCAATTATTTTATTTTTCGGGGGTACACGGCATTTTAAATAACAAATTCAAAACTTCTCTTCATTAGCTAGAGGTTTACTCTTGAAAATAGCTGTGCCATTTGCTATCAAATACGCAACAGTATTCTAGCTCTAGCATATTTCAGTATAGCATTTTTTACAATCCACGCAATCATTGCAACGTGCAAAGCCAAGGGAATAGCCCTATTAACTTCTTCACACAGCATATCAACAATTGCGCAAGAGAATGTGCTAAAATATGAATATATACCTTTTGTTTGCTGTTTCACTCTCTGCTCGCAATCCCTGTCTGCAGTTAGCAAAGTAGAGAAATGAATAAAAAGTTATAATTTCATTTAATCTACGTGATATCACTGGGTTTAACATAATTAAAAAGCAATTAACAATATCGGTAAAACTATTTATTCATTGATCTCTCCAGGCATGCCGATATCACAAAAGACCCACTAAGCGAATTTGAATTTCCTTGATCGCAAAATCACATTTGATTTGAAGGTTACTAAAAAATTTTAAAAGTATTCGACAAACCATTTTCCCATAAGAAAGTTTGGTTTTAAATAATTCTAATCAGAAAATATAAGTTAATATAAGAAATATCAATATAATGCAGATCCCTGCAGATAAGTTTGATATCATTCGCTTTAGAAAAGGTCACAGCTTATGGATCTGAAGAATATTTTTGCTCTGCGTGGTAATAGTTCTAAAAGGTGAATATCGATCAAATTGCTCTGTGATACCGATGACGTGAGAACGGTTACCCTAGCGGGTTAGGGAAGGCTTCAATAATTTACCCAGTGTAAGGCACGCCTGTCGTAAGAGGCAACAAAAATCCAATAGTTTCCGCATCAGCCGGGTTTTTATACCGGAACCACCATGCAAATTTTGAGTGCTTTTGTTTAGCTGTTAATTAGCAATAGTTCTCCCTTTAATCAAAACATATGACATAAATTATAAAATAGTTTTTAATACTGATTTAACTATCCTTGAATAAGAAAATAACAGCTTATCGCGAATACATTGCGGAAGAGCGGAATGTAAGATTATTTTTAAACAATCGCAAACGTAAATTGTGTGAAACAACGATGTAAAACTCCCTTTAGAAATAACTTTCATTACAACTCTATTGCCATTCGGCTAGTTAACGTTTGCACACGCTTTGCGTTGCAGCTCTTGCAAAGAACGTGTCCATCTAGAGGGTAACAGCCTCGCCCTTCTGCTTCAGATGAAAGCAACAAGCCGCAATCCTAATTTAATTATACAATCAATGTTTTGAAATGGTCTCTATATTAACATATATCTTACTTCACATTTATAGCATTCAAAATGGAAACTACGATCCAATGCTACTACTCGTACTGTTTCCTCCTCACCAGATTTCGGCATTATGGGCTCCATACAAACGCAACAACGTGGAGCAAATATTCTGAAAACCACAAGATTTAATTCGATTTTTTTAGTAGTTTTCCTATAAATTGGAATATTACAGTTAGTAAGCCAAGTATAATAACCTTTACTAAAAGAAGATAAAGAGCTTGTGTGAATAACTCAATGGCTGCCGCAGTAATGCAACAGCTTTACTTTTGCTAAACTGTTGCTAATTCTCAGTTTCCATTGCTATTGGGAAGGCGGATGTTTGAGTACTGGTCTCACCCAATATCGAAAATAATAGAAAATTTATTTTGCAATCACCCTCGGCAGGGAATGCGAAGACCTTCGAGTGTTTTCTGACATGAAAGAAAAGCTTCTCATAAAAATATTTTCGTCCCTCTAATTGATTGTTTGACAGAAAATCGCTTCAGCGGTCCCAAAGCATTAATTCTATATACATATATGTATATATATATATATATATATATATATACAAGATAATCTATTATTTTCACATAAGTTGGATTCAGTGATCTGTATTTCGCGTCCTATAAGTACGATTGAACAACTCTATAAAGCGATAGAAAGCTGATTTTGTAATGAAAAAAAGGAAAACTTGAGAAGTATTGATCACTTAGCTCAGTAGTGTTTGAGCGCACCAGCAAGAGAAAATACGTTATATTCCATGATTTTTCTTCCATAGAGATAAATACGGAGGTCTGGGAGCTAAAAATGTGAATAGTGTGCATGAACTGGAAAATCACGATACTGCAACAGGCAATCGTGCAAAATTGTTGTTTCGCCGATTCCGTTCCAGTAATTTTGATTTAAAAGTTATTCCACGGTGTGAAAGGCGAAGTATATCCGTTTCGATTGCCCAGAACAACGCAGGACCACACACATCAAAAATGATAGCCCTATCCCATCCAGCTAGGTAGTGATCAAAGAATTTTTTCGCGGTAAAGCATGCCATTTGTAAGAAGCGACTAAAATTCGAAAGTTCGCGCGACCATCGAGTATTTATACCGCAACGACATAGATTTTTATGCTTAAGGCGGTCACTCCTGAATCTGTCAGCAGCAATTGGCCGGCCGGTCCTAAGCTGCTGCTTCAATTTTAGGACAAAACTACGGTAAAACTCGGCATAACAGATAATAATTTTAACATTTAGCTGGAAGGGAAGTTGGAAACTCATGCTGATCATATGGTTACATTTTTGTTTACAAATAAAAAGTATTTATAATATATGTTATAAATACTTTAATAAAAATGATGTACTTACAAAAAACGTAAGCAAATCGAGAAGTCAATTGAACCATTTACTATTGTCCTTTGTTGTATAACAAAAAAAAAAATTCTTATAAACGAATAGGCCTTTCGCTTTATAATTTATAATAAAAAAAGTAATTCTATTAAGTTTAATGGATTTATATCAGTGATTCAATTTAACAGTGTTATCATCGTCTGAGGAATTGGAAGTTAAGAAATGCATATAAATATAATATAATATTATATATTCATGATTTTAAACATTGAATGCCGATTTTAAATTTCTTTAAAGCAGTATTGTCCAATTGGCAGGCAAAACATTGCCAAGCAGGGTTGTTGCTACGCCGATAATGAAGGTAGCACACTCTAAAGCTTCGGGAAAAGGCGATCTTCACAAAATAAAATGAATGTCGCATTTGAAAGGAACAAGAACTGATTAGCAAGAGCAAGATGTTTTGATTTAAATCATTAAGAATCCAATAAACTGTACAATATTTAGTTATCGTACAAACTCATTTTTAAACTGCAATCATCATCACTGAAAATCAAATCTAATTTTTTTTAATTTGTTATGAAAGTACTCAAAAGCAGAAAACTATAAGCAGTAAAATTAATTCATATGTAACTGCCAAAATGAAAGCAACAAACAATGTTAAACAACTTGTTCTGCAACTTTTAATGTGACTTTCATCAGTGATAACTTACTTGTGAAAATCTGCAATGCAGTAATTTTGATTCGTTGCGTCTACAGTAAATGGAATACTATCAAGACTCTTTCCACAAATTACACAGGTGAAACATTGCGGATGATAAGGTTTACCGGTTGCACGGAGAATGCGTTCCAAAATCGGCTTCATACAAACGGAGCATTTTTCCAAAGTTTGCAAGTAATCATGCTCGCAAAAAGGTTTTCCATCAAAAGCATAAAATGGTTTACCCTGTAAATTTACTTGACATTGTGAACAGGTGAAACACGAGATGTGATAAATTTGTTCCATAGCTGTGCAACCGGAATTTTCTCCCAACACACGTTCATTACATTTAAAACAAGTTCCTGTAATGTAGAAAATAATTAGCCATATCTTTTCGTTTGTTGGTGAAAATTACAAAGAATATGAAAGCAACCGATACATTTTGAAAAATGTGTACTTGAGGCATCTTTCAATAAATTAATTTGAGCTTAGATGTATGATACTAACCATAATTTTCCACACCGCTTTCAGAATCAAATGACTGTACCAAAAAGTCAGGCAATGCATTTACTACTACTTCTTTTCGATGAATAGGACTTTTCAAACTCAGATTAGAAATATTATCATCTAGGCTTGGATATGATGGCGTGTTACATTCGCCGGCATTCGATCCAATAGTTGAAAGGTTTCCTCCACTTTCACTCTTGTTCAGTTGTGAGTGGTTGACATATGGAACGTAATTTAAGTAGTTAGCCTGTGATGAAAATTCACCGGCAGGTCGAGGAATTATTGGCTCATATATAGCTTCATAGGTCGACGAACCCTAAAAAATAATTCATTGAAATAACAATTAAAAAAAAAACCTAATAATAATTTTTCAACAGAATTCAAATCGGTCGCAAATTTTAAAGAAAGTATTTGTAAAAAATAGCACGCTTGCTTGATTGTAGAAAAACAATAAGCAAAAGGTAGATAGCTCATAAACTAATTCCAATAAAGAGAATGGAACTATGTTAAATGCGACTTGCCTGCAATGTTGGACAGCAACTGCTGGGTTCATTTCTACATATCAAATTTATATAAGGTTGTCCTCCCGTGTACCCATGGCTGCTTATACCATCAGCAATATAATTAATGTCTGCCTCATTTGTTTTGGTGTAAGGCCTTTTGAAAACATTTGTGGCTCTCCTTAACTCACTGTACGATGAGCTGACAGGACTAGGAGGTGGTAAAATTTCTTGATCCTGGTGATTACAATAAGTTGAAGTGGCTTCAATTGCGTCTACGCATAGTGTGGATGATAATAATGGTGGCGAATTTTCTTAAACAAGTAAAGAAACAACATTATTTTATGCGAAAAATTTATAATTATTTTCGTTCAAGGCGAACTCTTAAAAGATAAGTTGTACATTAGATCATATGATTACTTGTTCTTTCCTCTATTTCGCTAACTGACACAAAGACTCCAACCACCTCTTCACATGGTGACTTAGAATAACTAACCTGTCCCAAAGCGGGGTTAAGGAAGCCGCTACAACAACAAAATTGCTACAACAGTAGTTCCGTTCGGTGATTTGACGGGCAGTAAAAATTTAAAGTGTATTTCACTGAATCGCGCTCCATAAGCCGAAAACCCAGTTGAATTATTAGCGAGAAAGTGCAAATTAGACGTTTGGTTTGAAGAGAGAATTGCAAAATTGCTGCCAGCAAAGTCTAGCAAGTTTGAAAAACAGCTGTAGTGCATTCTCTATCGTATTATAACGACTTTCGGATCGTTAAAATGACTTAACGATAATTTTAACGACTTTACTGTTCTCTACATACATTAAACCGATTTTCAGACCGTTAAAATTACTTACCGATAGTTTTAACGATATTCGCTATTTTCTAAGACAATATCACGATTTTCGGATAGCAAATCGCAAAATCGATCGAGTGTTAATTCTATCACTGTTGCCATATACTACTCGATAAATCCCTAACTAAGCGACAAGTATTTTTGAGTCGTTAGCGATATCGTCAAAATTTTGATATTTCATAAAGGTTAATATATAGTAAAATAAATCGGGAAATTGGCTAAAATATATATAAGATCAAAATAAAATAATAAACAAAAATGGCTTTTGATTATTTGGCATACATTCATTCAGGTATTGTACCTTTCATTGGTGGATGGAAGTTCGCTTCGGAAAGTTAAATATCGTTTCCACTTTAATGCAACTGAGTTTCTTGATAACCAGAAAAATAACAGCATTATCTCCGGAAGGACAGGATAAAATATATCTTTTAACTATATTTTTTTTTTTCAATTTTATTACTATTAAAATGTTTGGTCTTGTGATACTTAGCAAGTGGATATTCGCAACGTCCCGTCGGAGAGCAACGGAGATCATACTATATATGAGTCGGTCATCAGTAAGCCGTTGTATTCATCACGTGACAGAAGCAGTTAAGCGTATTCCATTACGCAATTAGATCGGGAATGTTTGCCTTATCATCGTCTTCACTTGTTGGAGGCAATATATGGGGCTATCGATTTCACTCATGTGTCTATCTCGAGTCCCAGAAATCATCAATAAACCTATGTCAACCATGTAATTATAATTGTGGTAACAAAGATCATTATGCTACTTGTGCATAGATATTGATCCTTATCTCAAGATTTTGGCGGCAAATTCCGAAATCAGGAGTGTGGCATGATTATTTAATTCAGAGAATTCATAACATGGTTTTGATTTGATAAACATAATTACTTTACTTACTTTACTGGCGTAGACACCGCCTACGCGATTATAGCCGAGTCAACACTATTCCGCCATTCGTTTCTTCTTTTTCATGTGTGGCGCCAATTCGAAAACCAAGTACAACCAGGTCTTCTCTACCCATTCTTTCCAAAGGAGTGAAGGCCTTCCCCTTCCCCTCAGCTTAAATTACAGTAAAGTCGCCGTATAAATTGTACAGCTCATCGTTTCATTGCCTGCAATGTTCGCCGTTGCCAATGCAAAGAACCATAAATCCACTCAAAATCTTTCTCACGAAAACTCCTAGCGCCGACTCTTCAGACATTGTCATCGTCCATGCTTAAGCACCATATAGCAGGTCCATGAGGGACTGGTAGAGTTTGGTTTTCGTTTGCAGAGAGATAACTTTACTTTTCAATTGCCTACTCAGTCCAAAGAAGCACCTGTTGGCAAAAGTGATTCTCCGCTCGATTTCAAGGCTAACATTATTAATTCTGTTGATGATGGTTCCTAGATAGACGAACTTATCTACTACTGCAAAGCTATGACTGCCAACAGTGACGTGGTGCTGTCGAAGGCGGGTTTAAAATCGTTCCTTTTTCACGTGTCTTTTCCAAGATTCGGTGAATGGTGAGCATCTGGTCAATGGTTGACCTACCAATTCTGAAACAACACTGATAAGGTCCAATCATTTTGTTGACGGTGGGCTCCAGTCTTTCACACAACGCTCGACAGGACCTTATATGCGATTTTAAGGAGGCTTATCCCACGTTAATTGGCGCAGACTGTGGAGTCCCCTTTTTTATGGATTGCGCAGAGCACACTTAAATTCCAATCGTCGGGCATGCTTTCGTCTGACCATATTCTGTAAAGTAGCTGATGCGTGCACTTTCTCAGTTTTTCACCGCCATGTTTGAATAGTTCTGCCGGTAAGCCTTCAGCTCTGGCGCTTTGGTGTTTTTTTTAGCGGGCGATTGCTATCCGAACTTCTTCCTGAACGTCCTATCCATCGTCATCTATTGGGGTTTCGGGTTCACCATCTCCGGGTACTCCATGTTCACTGCTATTCAGCAGACTGGGGAGGTGTACCCTCCATAAATTCAATATACTCTCGGAATCGGCTGCTTGATCACCGCTTTGTGTCGTACAAGAGTCTGCTCCTGTCTTGAAACCTTTTTCATAGAATTTTCGAGCATTACCTTTGTCGGCCAGCTCTTCGTACCCACGCATCGCGGCCTCTTTTTCTCTGCAGATGCGTCTTGCTACCCTTTTTAGCTTTCGGTATCTATCCCGACCCGCACGGGTTGAGGCCAATCGCAGCGCTGGGAGGTGGGCAGTCTGTTTTCTCTGCACTGCGACACGACAATACTCATCGTACCAGCTGTTTTTGCGACCTTTACGAAATGCAATACTCTCGTTTGCAGCTGTACGTACGAAGCTTGAAATCCCGTCCCACAGTTCCCGTACACCGAGCTGCTGATGAGTGCAGATAGTAAGAGTGCAATTTGAGTATAAAATCGTTCGGCAGTCTGTTGTGATTGCAGTTTATCGACGTTGTACTTTCCTGTGTTTCTTGACGGGCGATCTTCGATACAAAGAGGCGTATGCGTATCTTAGATGCAACAAGCTAATGGTCCGAGTCGATGTTGGCTCCTCGGAGTGTACGCACGACAAGAACACTGGAGACATGTATTACAGACAATATTTCGGTCCCCGTCGAAGTCGATCGCCTCAACCCTTTAGGGTATGTTTCGTTGTGATGCTGATTTTTCCGACAGTCGTACTAAGGATACATTTTTTGCCCACCCTGCTATTACAATCGACCAGTACGATTTTCACATCGTGGCAGGGGCAGCGCTCCTAAGTATGCTCTAGCCGCTCATAAAAAGTATCTTTAGCCAAATCGTCCTTCACTTCTTTCAAGGTGTAGGTGCAAATCAACAATATGTTGAAAAATTTCGCTTTGATGCGGATTGTGGCGAGAGGCTCATCTATCGCGATGAATGACAGTACATGACGACAGTCTCTCTCCTACCATAAATCCGACAGCACATCTGCGCTCAAATATAAGGCCGCTGTAGTAAGCGTCACAAGAACCCACCTACCTCCCACCTTGGCCCGTCCATCGCATTTAGTGGACGGCGGTGATGCCAGCCTTTATTCTTACGAGGGCAACAACCAGCTGGTCAGCGGCACCTTCCCAATTAAGGGACCGGACATTACAGGTGCATGCCTTCAAATCGTGATCCGTACCTCGTTCTACGTGGCGGGTCCCAAACCCAGCGCACAGCCTTCCTAGGAGAGCATGTTTAAAGTTCTTCACATTTATGTAGTACCACTGGTGAACAGACGCTCCAATTAGACTTTAGCAGATCCTTAAGCCGAATAAGTCTGAGTGGCTCCACTGAAGCTTTCTCTCTCATTAGCCGTGACCTAAGGCTCCATACGGGTTGGTTACCACATCTTGCCTAAGGGTGCTCACGTTTCCAGGGTGCGCAAAGTGGACGCAAGAGTAGCAATTGAGTATAGCCTCGCAACTGCAGCCGCATATCCACCTCATTAAACCCCATATCGACACGGTTTGTCGGACAGTGAAGCTCCGAATATTGTCGATATTTATTAAAATGAAGGAAAGGTGGCATCACAGCTTAACAAAACGTCAAAATATGCGAAAAGAACTAAGAGGAAAAGCCAAAAACAAAAAAATTCATTATACAAATAACTTTTATTAAATGAGTAGCAATGCATTACAAAATTCATAAAATCAAAAATATGTTATGGTTTTCTTTTACAGGAATGACTCTTTGCTCTATAGGGAGCTCTAAATAAAATAATGTACCGCGGTCTTGGCTACTTAGCATTTGCCGCCATAACCCTGCGATATGGATTACAGATTTATGTACAAATATTTTGAACTTTTTTACTTCAATATTAATTGAAAAATTTTTGCTTTCTCTTTTTACACGTTGGTAGAATAGTATTCATGATTAGTGGGGCTCATGATTGACACATGAGCGCAATAATCTTAATGAAATATCAAAATTTTAACCACAACGCAAACAACTGAAAAATATTTATGTATTTAATTTGCTTATTTATTTAATAATAACAGAGCAATAGTACAATGATTTCCATATCTTTTTTAGTGCAACAGACATAGTGTGAAGAATAAGTAAATATTACTTTAGGGATACACTAACAAAAAAAATAATATAATGAACTGAATATCATAAAAATTTGAACAATTATTAAATAGTCAGTCTATGTTGGAACATGGCCTTTAAAATGCACATATTGCATATGTGGTTCTTGAAATTGCTTCTGTTTAATTTCCTCTTTAAATAAGCTTAGTTAGCGTTTTGTCGAGTAGTTTATGACAACAGCATTGGCGAATATCGTTAAATACATACACTGGATATTAAAATCAGTAGAATTATCGCTAAGTCTCATTTGCCATCCGAAAATCGTTATAATGTATGTATGGAATTGTTATCGTCATGTTATTTCAACAATCCGAAAATCATTATAATACGATTGAGAATTCCCCTACAGGTTTTCCCTTTCTTAAAGTGTTTTAGTATTTTCAATACATTATTGAAGTGTGTGTCGTTAATTTTTTTCTTGTCATAGTTTTCATTTGTCGAATGTCAAAATATTACAACTTCAAAATTGACATCTACCGGCACAGCTGGCAACACTAAATACAATACATCACCTTGTCCTATTTCGATGATAATTTTAAGCACATATTCAGTCATAAGTACAGTAAGGTAAGCCTTTATGAAAATTGACAAAGAAATGGATTATTGATTTAAAGAATTTTCCTATAAAATATTGCTTGTACCGTGTATCTGATCAAAAATTGTAGTTTGGCTTGGTAGTTTCTTAAAATCTCAGAATTTGTGTATTCAATGGGCACGTGATTTCAGCTATATGTATATCGTTTGGTCATAAAACTGAAGGAAACTTTTTTCTACCGTCATTTTGAACCACAGTCAAATATTTAACGCATTAGCAACTCTCACGACAGCCGGTTCTACGCACTGGAGTTGACCCGGATTTTATCCGGCCAAGGGCTGTCACCCTTTCGGCGACCTTACCAAGTTTAGGTCAACAGGTAACATTAGTCTAAGTTCGCCAACGGAGCAACACCTTGCAGCTGGGTTGCTCCAAGTCCTTTTTATCAGGGCAGGTATCGAAACCAACCCTGGTCCGACAGAGTATTTCTGCTGCGTGTGTCACAAAAGACTCCACCACTCCTCCAACCCGGTTAGATGCAACCAGTGCAATGGTTGGAGTCACCTTAAGACCTGCTCAGGCCTTAAGACTCACGGGGAATGGACAACGAGTTATGTGGCCACATGCTGTCAGCGTCCCCCTCCCGTCCACCACTGCAGTGCCTAAGCGTTTATCCTGAACAATACCGTGCAGTATCATCTTATCGATTTCGACATCGATCGCAGGGATACTACCCTAGAATGTTAGGGCATAGCTATCCAGTCAGGCGATGTTGAGCTCGAAATATTCAATAAATACATTCCTACAGTTACAAGTTACCCAGCAGGATACACCCCTGATATAGGTGCGCTACTCAGGGACGAAAACCGTTTGGTTTTAGACGACTTTAACGCACATCACGATCTTTGGCATTCTAGCCTGTCAAATGACCGTAGAGGGATGCAGCTGGAAGAACAGATAGACGATTCGACATTCTGCAGAATGAACGACAACACCCCCACAAGAGTAATGGGTAACTGCCAAAGCTCGCCATACATAACAATTGCGAGAGCTGGTCTGATAAACAGTATAGTCTGGCGACCTATACTGACGTTAGCATCAGACCACTTGCCTATACAAATCTCGATTGACAGGCCTCCCGGCTTTGTTTCCGCGGACCACCGGCCATTTGTTAACTTCAAAAATGCTAACTGACCCGGATTCACGGAATTCACTGAGAACGCCTTTAGTTCTCTTCCCACTCCATCCGACGTCACCACTGGTGAACGTTTATTTCGCAGGGTCGTCGTGACCGCTGCCGCCCGCTTCATCCCGGCAGGCCAACTGCGACAAATTTTCCGACAGAAGCGGGGGTATTAGCATCCAGGCGCAACATCCTCCGAATCTCCGATCCCGGCAATCCCTTAATCAGGGATTTAAACGGGGAGATTCGAGGAGTAGTCAACAATCATAGGCGGAAAAAGTGGGAGGAACATCTAAGGACCTCCAACCTCTCCTCTGGGGTAACCAAGCTCTGGGCTACAGTCAAATCGCTGTCTAACCCGACGAGGCGCGATGACCGGGTGGAAATTTCATTCGATGATCGCACGTCGTCGGACCCGAAGAGATGCGCGAGCTATTTTAGCCTACTTCTCACACTGCATCCATCGGTAGACAAAGCGAAGCGACGGGTAACCCTCCGTCTGCTCAAACTGCCAAACATCAGCGCGGTGCTTCATTTCTCCAGGGAGGAGGTTCAGGGCGTCATCGGGAAGCCTACAAATCCATCGGCCCCAACGGAATGACAATGCTGATGCAGAAACATTTCTCACGAGGGTCCTCAACTTGTCTTTGACCACCCTAATGGTACCTGTCGTATGGAAAACAGGCAGGGTGTTCCCGCTACTCAACTTGGGGAAACCAGCCAACAAACTTACCGGACGATAACTCTCCTCTTCCCAGTAGCGAAGACACTTGAGTACCACAGCAGCACTAAACGCCATAAACACCCAGATAGTCAATGGCCTTAACCAAAACCGACCCTGCTCGCGAACTGTCCTGGTAGCATTGGACTTGTCAAAAGCTTTTGACACAGTCAATCACTCAGTGCTACTAACGGACATTGAGGAATGCTCATTACCGCCGGGGTTGCAGAGGTGGGTCATGGGTTACCTGAGTGGTCGACAATCATCGGTAATATTCCGAGGTGTAACATCTAAGCCCAGGAAAATTAAACAGGGGTTCCGCAGGGTGGTGTCCTCTCCCCATACTGTTTAATTTCTACATCTCGAAACTCCCTCCACCATCAGAAAGAGTTTCCCTAACCTCTTATGCCGATTATTATACGATAATGGCGTCTGGACAGGATATTGACGACCTCTGTTCGAAAGTGAATTGCTACCTGGCCGATCTCTCCCACTTCTTCACTGCAAGACAGCTTAAAATACAAACGACCAAATCCTCGGCTACCCTCTTCACCAACTGCACGAAGGAATACAGGCTTGAACTAGATGTGAAGGTCGAAGACACAAAAATTCCGACGGTAAATAACGCAAGGATATTGGGAGTAACACTAGACAGCCTGCACTTCTTCACTCCGCATACGACCGCAATTGCCGCAATACTCCAGAGCCGCAACAAAATACTCAAAGCGCTAGGCGGCAGCACCTGGGGTAAAGACATAGAAACCTTGCTGACAACCTATAAAGCTATAGGCCGGCCGGTCGTAAACTGCGCTGCACCGATCTGGGCGCCGGGGACGAACAAGACACCGATGAAGAGGTTACAGGTTCGTCACAAGATTGCATCAGGACCGCGACAGGGAAACTCCTGTTGTCGCCAGATTGCTGGATTGCTCGTTTGTGCCCTTTAAGTCTAGTACTCCCTTTCTGGTGTGCCTAGGTGGAGGTTCAGCTTCTATTAGGTGCTTAGGTGGAGGTTCAGCTTATAAATATTAACTAGCTGGGGTAACCAAGCTCTGGGCTACAGTCAAATCGCTGTCTAACCCGACGAGGCGCGATGACCGGGTGGAAATTTCATTCGATGATCGCACGTCGNAAACTCCTGTTGTCGCCAGATTGCTGGATTGCTCGTTTGTGCCCTTTAAGTCTAGTACTCCCTTTCTGATGTGCTTAGGTGGAGGTTCAGCTTATAAATATTAACTAGACATAAAGGGCACAAACTAGCAATCTGTACAGCAACCGCTGATCAGGACGGCGTATGAAAGGCACTGAACCCCATTCACCAGGAGTCAGTCAACACCTTCAAGGACTCCCTTCCAGTGAATGGCGTATTTGGAGGAAAACCACCACCTATAGCAGACGATGAGCTCGAGCTGCCTCGAGAGACCCGAGTGACCCTGACACAACTCACGTCTGGATATTGTATCAGGTTAAACTCCTACTTATCCCGACTAGACCCCAGCATACCCAACGTATGCCCTGCATGTGGAGAGTCTCCGCACGACACTAACCACGTCTTCACATGCCCTCTCAAAACAACTCATCTAACCCCTCTCTCCCTCTGGTCCAACTCCGTCGAAACAGCTCGTTTCCTGAACCTCCCACTAGATGACCTCGGCGACTAAGTTTGATCAAACCTGTGCCTAAGCGGGGTTAGCGAACCGCAACAATACCTGTAGACCTAAACGGGGTTAGGTCTCCGAAAGGGTGACAGCCCTTGGCCGGATAAACTCCGGGTCAACTCCGGTGCGTAGAACCGGCTGTCGTGAGAGTTGAACAAAACACATAACAACCGCTGGACAGGACGGCATATCGACAAGCACTGAACGCCATTCACCAGGAGTCAGTTAACACCTTCATGAACTCCCTTCCAGTGAATGGCGTACTTGGAGAAATACCAACACCCATAGCAGACAACGAGCTCGAGCTGTCTCGAGAGACCCGCGTGACTCTGACACAACTCAGGTCTGGATATTGTAGCAGGTTAAACTCCTACCTATCCAGACTAGACCCCAGCATACCTAACGTATGCCCGGCATGTGGAGAGTCCCCGCACGACACTAACCACCTCTTCACATGCCCTCTCAAAACAACTCATCTAACCCCTCTCTCCCTCTGGTCCAACCCCGTCAAAACAGCTCGTTTCCTGGACCTCCCACTTGATGACCTGGGCGACTTAGAGAAAAAATCAAAAACACACACCGCAAATTGGAGAAGAAGATCGGTCGATAAGTGCTTCAGCGACCAATATCAATATCAGACACTTCGGAAATCATTGATTTTCAAGAATCAAAACAAATGTTATTATGGAATAATAAACTACTAGAGAAAGTGGAGATTTGTTTATAATTTTTTAAACTTCTTCAATGAGAGAGAGCTTAAAAAAAGGAGTTTCAAGACAATACAATTTTTTTACGGTTTAATCAACGACCAATTTATGAACAATTTTTCGGTAATCCTATATGTACGTTTATATTACTTTGATTATAGCTAACATTTTATTTAATAGTCACATTATACATACCTTGCTTAGTATATTGGAATATGAAATTAGAGTAGATATCATTCTCTGCTGGAAATATTTTATTATCTAATTGGTACGTTAAACATCTTTGACTTTTGTTCTCAGTATAAGAAGTAAGTTTTGTAGGCGATCCCAAAACTTTCTCCGTATAATGTTCAGCTGTATTATTCTTGATAGGGGTTGTAGCACCATTCCCTGATGACGGTACGAGTGTATTTGAGTAAATCACGTTGGAAGTGATATCTACTACTTTTTGCGAATTAGACATTACATTCGAAAAAACTGTTGTGTTCTCCTCACTACATATTTGTGGTTGCAGAAAAGCACCTTTCTTTTCTAATTGCAGCTTATGATGAGACAAAGCTTTAAGTTGCTGCTCCAATACAGCAGGGTTGTCTAATGTTACATTGCTTAAGGGAGATTTGTGTAAGGCATATGTTGGGTGTTTTCGAGGCAATTCTGGAACCCTATTTTTTGAGTCCGAACTCATAGCACTCAAACACTGCAAACGTTTGGAAAAGTGTGGCTCACAAATCGATTCAACGATGCAACTTTTTGGCACCTATCAAAATAATCAAAATAACGAATTGAGTAATGAATATTCTATAGGATAAAAAACTACTTCAGTTTAGCTTTTTCCGTTTTATTCCCCTTATTATTTATAAAAAATTATTAATAAATATTTACCAGAAGATTCAGTTTAAAAAAAATTAAACTTAATGCAATTCATTAAGTCAGATGTATTACATAAATACGACAAAGCTATAACTCCTAGCAGGTTTTTCTTATTTTGTAATTTTCAAAAATTTATTATACCATATTACGTACTAAATTATGTTATATTATAATATATCAATTATTACATTTTATATATTATATTATATTATTTTATATTATATTATTTTATATTATATTATACTATTTTTTATATTAAGTACTCTCTTTCCCTCTTTTCTTGATAAATTGGCATTATGTCAAATGCTCTTGGCAGTTTTTTTACAAATAAAACATCTTTTTACTGTTTGTGCAAAATTGTGAGAATCACTCGCCGAAATCATCTAATGGGACATAAGAGGAACGAGCTGTTTCGACGGGATTGGACCAGAGGGGGAGGGAGGTTTGATGAGTTGGTTTGAGAGAGCATGTGAAGAGGTAGTTAGTGACGTGCGGAGACTCCACATTCAGGTCATACGTTGGGTATGCTGGGGTCTAGCCTGGATAAGTAGGAGTTTAACCTGCTACAATATCCAGACGTGAGTTGTGTCAGGGTCACTCGGGTCTCTCGAGGCAGCTCGAGTTCGTTGTCAGCGATGGGTGGAGGATTCACTCCGAGCACGCCATTCACTGGAAGGGAGTCTTTGAAGGTGTTGACTGACTCCTGGTGAAAGAGGTTCAGTGCCTGTCTATACGCCGTCCTGATCAGCGGTTGCTGTACATATTGCTGGATTGTGCCCTTTAAGTCTAGTACTCCCTTTCTGATGAGCTTAGGTGGAGGTTCCGCTTCTATTAGGCATTATGCTCTTTAACTCGTAGCATAGGCGCTTGGATGTCCAAGCAGAAGGGCGCACCCTAATAGGAACCTAATATTTATAAGCTGAACCTCCACCTAAGCACATCAGAAAGGGAGTACTAGACTTAAAGGGCACAAACGAGCAATCCAGCAATCTGGCGACAACAGGAGTTTCCCTGTCGCGGTCCTGATGCAATGTTGTGACGAACCTGTAACCTCTTCATCGGCGTCTTGTTCGTCCCCGGCGCCCAGATCGGTGCAGCGCAGTTTACGACCGGCCGGCCTATAGCTTTATAGGTTGTCAGCAAGGTTTCTATGTCTTTACCCCAGGTGCTGCCGCCTAGCGCTTTGAGTATTTTGTTGCGGCTCTGGAGTATTGCGGCAATTGCGGTCGTATGCGGAGTGAAGAAGTGCAGGCTGTCTAGTGTTACTCCCAATATCCTTGCGTTATTTACCGTCGGAATTTTTGTGTCTTCGACCTTCACATCTAGTTCAAGCCTGTATTCCTTCGTGCAGTTGGTGAAGAGGGTAGCCGAGGATTTGGTCGTTTGTATTTTAAGCTGTCTTGCAGTGAAGAAGTGGGAGAGATCGGCGAGATAGCAGTTTACTTTCGAACAGAGGTCGTTAATGTCCTGTCCAGACGCCATTATCATACAATCATCAGCATAAGAGGTTAGGGAAACTCCTTCTGGTGGTGGAGGGAGCTGCAAGATGTAGAAATTAAACAGTAATTGGGGAGAGGACACCACCCTGCGGAACCCCTGTTTAATTTTCCTGGGCTTAGATGTTACACCTCGGAATATTACCGATGATTGTCGACCACTCAGGTAACCCATGACCCACCTCTGAAACCCCGGCGGTAATGAGGATTCCTCAATGTCCGTTAGTAGCACTGAGTGATTGACAAAGTCAAAAGCTTTTGACAAGTCCAGTGCTACCAGGACAGTTCGCGAGCAGGGTCGGTTTTGGTTAAGGCAGTTAGTGCTGTTGTGGTGCTGTGGGCTTTTCGGAAGCCATGCTACTGCTCTGTTGGAGGCAGATGGTGAATGAAAGTCGGGAGCAGTAAGGCCTCAAGTGTCTTCGCTACTGGGGAGAGGAGAGTTATCGGCCGATAAGTTTGTTGACTGGTTTCCCCGTTTTGAGTAGCGGGACCACCCTGCCCATTTTCCACACGTCGGATATCATTAGAGTGATCAAAGGAATTTTGAGGACCCTCGTGAGAAATTCTGCTCCCGCTGGTCCTAGGTGTTTCAGCTTCACCATGCTTTTTCCGTCGGGGCTGATGGATTTGTAGGTTTCCCGATGACGCCCTGAACCTCCTCCCTGGAGAAATCAAGCACCGCGCTGGTGTTTGGCAGTTTGTGCATATGGCGGGAGGGATGCAGGGTGAAAAGTCGGCTAAAATAGCTCGCGCATATCTTTGGGTCCGACGGGGCGCCCACACCGAATGAAATTTCCATCCGGTCATCACATCTCGTCGGGTTAGAAAGCGATTTGACTGTAGCCCAGAGTTTGGTTGCCCCAGAGGAGAGGTTGGAGGTCCTTAGATGCTCCATCCACATTTTCCGCCTATGGTTGTTGACTACTCCTCGAATCTCTGCGTTTAAGTCCCTGATTAGGGGATTCCCGGGATCGAAGCTTCGGAGGGTGTCGCGCTTCTAATACCTAATACCGCTAACTTCCGCAATACGGCCAGCCGGGATGAAGCGGCCGACAGCAGTCACGACGACCCTGCGGAATAAATGCTCACCATTGGTGACGTCTGATGGAGTGGGAAGAGCATTAAAGGCGTTCTGAGTGAATTCCGTGAAGCCGGGCCAGTTAGCCTTTTTGAAGTTAACAAATGTCCGGTAGTCCGCGGATACAAAGTCGGAAGGCCTGTCAATCGAGATTTGTATGAGCAAGTGGTCCGATGCTAACGTCGGTATAGGTCGCCAGACTATACTGTTTATGAGCCCAGCACTCGCAATTGTTATGTCTGGCGAATATTTCGAGCTCGACATCGCCTGACCGGATAGCTATGTACTGACATTCTAGGGTGGTATCCCTGCGGTCGATGTCGCCATCGATGAGACGATACTGCACGGTGTTGTGCAGGATGAACGCTAAGCCCCCACTATGATCTCGCTTGCGATCCTTGCGGATTATGTTGTATTAGGCCCTGTTCAGAAGATCTGATCGGACCATCAAGTTAGTTTCCTGGATCGCAGCAATTGACAGGTGCTCCCGGCTCATGAACTCGACTATCTCGTCGATCCTTCCCTGGAGTCCGTTGCAGTTAAATTGTAGGAGTTGGGTCTGCCTCGGGGGAACGTTCGTGATACGGGGGGTGAGGGAGTGATGCGTGGAGTGTGTGTGTTGCTGCTGTAATGCCCGCGGATGTTGGTTCCGCACATTGGTGTTAGTTGGCGGATGGTTTGTTGAAACAGGCAGTAGCAGACCCCTTCAGCACGGGGCAACATACGTATCGCTCAACTCACGGGCGGTGCGCAGGCCCGAGCAGGTCCGAAAGTGACACAAGCCAGAGGTCACGTTCTGACGCACTATGGTCTGACACACGGAACATACTGTGCGGGGGACTAGGAGCTGCTGGGTAGCCCTCGCACAGGAGGAAGATGAGAAGCTGGTTGTGGGTAGGGATGGGGGTGGAGGTAGGAAGGAGTCATGCTGCGGGGAGCTCCGTGAGACCGTGGAGGTCTATTGATTACCCTGAGTGGATAAAGGTGCTGAACGCACTGCCGTGGAGGCAGGAGGAAGGATTTGGGGCAACCCAGCTGCAAGGTGTTCCGTTGGCGAACTTAGACTAATGTTACCGGTTGACCTAAACGGGGTTAGGTCACCGAAAGGGTGACACCCCTTGGCCAGATAAAATCCGGATCAACCCCGGTGCGTAGAACCAGCTTCGTGAGAGCGCTCATAAAATTATCTTTGGCCTTCCTTCCTTCCTTCCGTCGGGGCGTGGGCGTAAATCAACAATATGTTAAAGAATTTCGCTTGGATGCGGATTGTGGCGATACGTTCATCCACCGGAATAATGCCAGTACTCGACGACGGAATCTCACTTCCACCAAGGATCCCGCGCCAAATTTGCGTTCCTTTATATGGCCGCTGTTGTAAATGCCACAAGAACTTATTCGCCCTCGTCCTTGTCCCATCCATCGCATTTCTTGGATGGCGGTGATGTCAGCCTTTAATTTTTTGAGGACATCAACCAGCTGGGCAGCGGCACCTTCCCAATTAAGGGACCGGACATTCCTGGTGCATGTCCTCAAATCATAATCCTTAAAGCATTTGCGGTGGTCGTCATCAAAGGGCATAGTAAAATTTTTTATAGGAGTTTATTCTTTATGTGTTGGGCACCAAACACAACCTTCTCACTTAAGCTCGTCTCCAAACGGATGTTTGTTGGATACCCAAAGTATACTTGGTCTAAAACCGGAAGTCCTGAGCTGCTTCAACCATATGCAAAAGAAGCGTTTCTGGCCACTCAAAGATGAATGGCAGTCAAAAATTTTCCTCACTTTCGTGAACTTCTGCACCTGTTCCCATTTCCATCAAAAATTTCCTCACTCTTGTGAGCTTCTACACATGGCCGCATCCAAAAGTCAATTTATAATCAGCGAATACGAAAGTGTGTGCCGACACTCTTTTCAAGGGTCTCTTCCAAAATTTGGCGTATGATGAATATCTGGTCAAAGTCACACTGGTGTTGTTGTTGTTGTTGTTGTGCTGAAGCGGTTCGCTTACCCCGCTTAGGTACTGGTTTCACCAATCTAAGTCGTCGAGGTCATCTAAGGGGAGGTGCAGAAAACGAGCTGTTTCGACGGGATTGGACCAAAGGGAGAAGGGGGTTAAAGGCGTCGATTTAAGGAGGCAAGTGAAGAGGTGGTTAGTGTCGCACGGACACTCTCCACATGAAAGGCATACGTTGGATATGCTGGGGTCGGGTCTTGATAAGTAAGAGTTTAGCATGCCAGACTTAAGTTGTGCCAAGGTCAGCTCGAGCAGCACGAGCTCGTTGTGAATGGGGTTCAGTGCCTGTCTATACGCTG